ATCCATGAGGCCTCAGCGTAAGTAGCTTTATGAAACTATAGGCTCCAAAAAAAGTCTCCTTTACGTTACAGCAGTCTGTTGAGTTCAGTTTTGCTGTCTCTGGCCAATCAAAAACTCCCTGAAAGATGTGTGATGAAGCTTCGCAGCTTTCACACAGCATAATTGGGAGCTCAGGCTGCATTCTTGCAGTACTCGGTGATTGTCCAAAGGTGCGGCACAATGCACGCAATGCTAGAGCAATGAGTTTGAGAGAGGCTGTCTTTCCTTCAGAAACAGAAATTCAGAGTTCCAGAATCAATCTCAGGAGAGTTAAGTAAAGACTTCAGTTCATAATCACTTTGAGTTTCTGTTCCTGGGGCTAACAGAACAATTGTTAATACTCAAGTTGAATTACTAACTCTTAGTGTTAATTGCTAAGAGATGTTTCACTTAGACCTAGATTAAATGTACATCTAGGTATGTTAATTGTGGGACTCTTCCATAACACCTGAGGACTTGCAATGAGAAAGGAGGTTTTTATTGTTCCTGATTTCCTGCATAAGAGCACTAAACAAAGAAACTTGTCTCTAGCTTACCTGCCCCTGCCTCCAAACTGACTTTTTGTTATGCTTTGCACTTTGGTGTTACATACAGGGGTTTTGCTGCTACAGGCTCAGCATGCTTTGGTAGGATGTATGTTTTTCCTCTTCTTTCAAAATCAGATGGAGAAATATTTGTAGCAAGACTTAGGGCCCAGATAAAGCCTCTCTTAAAAGGTTTTCAGCACGTTTTATCTCCGATTTTGTAGGATACTGGTCCACCTTAGTCGTGGGGGAGCTGAGGTTCAGATGTATGCTCCAGACGTTCCTCAGATGCATGTCATTGACCACAGTAAAGGGCAACCAGCTGAAACTGAGTCAAGGTAAAGCCTGTGTTTAATGTGTTTTCCATGACTGCTGAGCCTCAGCCTCTTAGGCATTCCTCAGACACAGCAGCCTGTAACTGCACGTGTAGCACTTTGCTGACTGGCTTTAGTAGCTTTATGGTGTTTTGATCAGAAAGAAAATATTAAATGAGTTTTCTGGGCTTGCCTATAGAGAGTCTCTTAATGCCTCTGTTTCCCAGTAGAGAAGCATCAATAGCTTCAGTTATTGAGTACGACTGCTCTTCTTGCTTCCTCCCCCTCCTCTTCCCCTGCCAGAACTTTCTTTGTGCTCTTCTGTGCGCAAATGCTTAATTGATCTCATTGTTTTATTTCTGGTTCTTTAAGGAATGTTTTAGTGGAATCTGCAAGGATTGCTCGTGGTAAAATTACAAGCCTGGCTAAGCTTACTACAGCAGACCATGATGCTGTGATATTCCCTGGTGGATTTGGAGCTGCTAAGAACTTGTGAGTTCCAACTAAGCATTAGACTCCTCTGCTAAATATTCATCATCAGCTATTCATAATCAACTGTGATTCACACAATAAAATCAGGAAGCAATAAATGCCTTATTTACTGCATATGTAACTGCTACTTAATAAGGGAAACTCCTTTCAAAGTGTTGGAGTTAAGTTGTGCTGTTCATGATGATTTCCAGTTGTAATTCTTATTGGCATTGTCACATTTTAAATTTTCCAAACAATGCTGATGAAAATTCTGGAGTTTAGATAATGCACAAGATGTCCTTTTTCCTCACCCTTGTGGTGATTCTTTTTGGGCCTGAGGGAAGTGAAGGTAAAACTTCAATAGTTTTAGGTGTTCCTAGTGTTATTATTCTGTTTCTTTATGGCTGCCTACCAAAAAGTCCCCTCATACGTTAGTACCAATGAAACAACAGCTAGGTCAAAAAAAAAAAAGGCAAAAGAAAAAGCGTTAGCTGTGTGGAGTACTGATTATCTTGTTACTGACCTGCCATTTTGTTGGCTTTGAGAAACCTGAATGTTGTTTCCCTTTTCTTCTTAATGTATTTTTCTTCTTTGGAAATGTTGTTTTACTTCTCAGTCATCCTGGAAAGCTGATTTGATAATTCTTATTTCTAGATGTTTATCTCAAGTAAGGAACTTTGTGACATACCAAAGCCTTAGAAGTGAGTCATTTTGGGTGAAGCGTTGGTGGGCAACTACAGACTTTTTCAACCACCTTTTAGAAGTTATTAAGTTTGTGATGACCCTTGAGAGTTAGTCTCAGGGCAGATAGGCTTCTCTGTCTGTAGCTTTATACTGAGGTGTATATAAAGTTTCTTGTTGTGGCAGATCTACCTTTGCCGTTGATGGGAAGGATTGCAAGGTGAACACAGAAGTTGAACGTGTCTTGAAAGACTTCCACAAAGCAGGCAAACCTATTGGGTACGTATGTTAGTTGGAGGGGCATTTGTTTGATAGTATGAGCATGGAGACAATGTATGTTTTGTTGAAATGTGCAGCTGTTACTGTTGGAACTAGAAAAAGCATCTTCTGTTTTGAATCAATTGTAGCGTATTTTTTAAAATGTGTTTTTCAAGATGCGCATGTGTGTAGGTGTTTGTCAGAGAAGAAGCTAAGAAAATGCTGAGTGGACGTTGCCTTGTGATGTCTTTCAGATTTGTAAGACTATGTCCATTTGAATCTTTTCAATTATGATCGAGTTTTGAAAGAGTGCTGTTGTATGATCGCTCTTATAATTCCTTTTGTTGCAGTCTTTGCTGCATTTCACCAGTGTTGGCAGCAAAGGTTCTCTCTGGTGCTGAAGTAACTGTGGGCCATGAAGAAGAGGAAGGTGGCAAGTGGCCTTATGCTGGGACTGCAGGAGCCATTAAAGAACTAGGAGGAAAGCACTGTGTGAAAGAAGTGACTATATCCTTTCCTGTTAATTTCCATGTAGAGAGACAGTTTATTAATGTGTCGTTACAACAGTGGATGCGTGCATGATGTATGCTTTTCTACTTACAGTTCAGTGGGAATATGCAGTGTATAGCAGATAGCATGTAATGTGGTGCCTGATCAGAAACATTGTCTTCTGTGCACCGCGGTGTAGTTAGAAGTCGTTCTCAGTCGTTGCTATAGAACTCCCTTGGACACCCGGTAATGCAGTAAAAGCTGAGTGAATTTGTGCATAAAACTGGTATGAGTTACAATTGGTCAGTGCTCTTTGAGATTTTTTTTTTCTTTTCCTGAAGGCTAATCAGACTGTACTCGGAGACATTTTATTACAATCAGTAAATTTCGTAGGTTTTCTTGTGTTTCTGAGCATTGCCACAGATTGCTCTTGCAGTATTTATATTTCTGGCAAAAATACCTTCTAGTATCTTGGATTATAGTTTGCAGCTGTCTTTACAGCTGGACAGTATAATATATTTGGAGGTGCTTTTTTGTAGGATAGTGAAGTTGTGAAGTTTTGTCAATGATGGTTTATTTTGCAGACAGCATCTGCAAGTGAGACATAGGCTGTGTTTTCCTTAACTCCCTTTTACGAAGCTCATGTGGATACAAAAAACAAGGTGGTGACTACCCCGGCATTTATGTGTGAAGCCCAATTACATAATATCTTCGATGGCATTGGGGTCATGGTAAAGAATGTGCTAAAATTAACTGGCAAATAAAAAAACCCAAAACCAACTGAGGAATGTTTAAATTTGAGGTGTAGTATCAAATATAATATGGACCAATGGAAACCTTTTCACCTGCTTGTCCTGTTCACACTGTAGTGAATGCTGATACGAAGCTGATTGATTCCCAGCTGCAGGGTTTTCCATGCCCCGTCTGAGAGAGGGGCCTGCAGAAGGACTTCCAGAGTACCACCCGTCTGGCCTGAGACACACAGCATTTTCTTGAGCTTTTTCATCTGGTGAGACCTGTGCGGATGTATTCTGAAACAGTCCTCCCGATATACCAGTGTCAAATCGTTTCTATGGGGGCAAAAAGAGAATAAAGGGCCTTTCAGAAGCTGAGGGAAGGTGTGTTGTAGGGATATAGCAGATGCGGTGGCGGTGTATCTAGCAGACGAAGAATGGGAGTAGAGAGGAATTGGCATGTGGTTCAAGGTTTGTGTCCTCAGGCCTGTATCTGTGAACTAAAAGCCAGGATCAGCTGTCAAGGCAATAGACATCTTTCACATCTTAATTTAACTTGGTATTAATTAAAAGACTAAAATTTTCTTTTCCATTTCAAATAATCCTGTTTTCACAAAGGAACCATTCTGAATATCAGTCAGCAGCAGGATACATCTTCACTGTCACAACACTAGCACTTTGAAAAATTCATCCATTGGCCCATTAGAGCTAAAAAGGTCTTGATACGAAGGAGAAAATACCCGCTGATGTGACGCACAATCTTTAAGGATAATATCCGTATTAAAGTAGTTGCATGACTAGCACATGGATGGAAAAAACAATCTCAAATTATCCTTACTTTCCCTGCTTTAGGGTAATGAAGCTTTCTCCAAAGAAATATTATTGAATGTCTGGAATAATGATGTGTAAATAAATTAATTTCTGCCTTTATCTCATTCTTGTCCCTTCATTTTTATTCGACAGCTGCCTCTGATAGCTTACACTGGTTGATACATTCTAGCAGTTTTTCTGCTTTTCAGTTCTCTTCATCTGAGACATCTTTTCCATGTAGAATCCAGCAGAGTCTCCTTCTCCCCTTCCAAGTTATGTGTCGCCTTTCTTGTTCACCAGGAAGTAACATTTCGTGAACTAAACCAACCAAACAAAATGACACCCCTTACCTGGTATTAAAGTTCCTTTTACATGACAGACATGCTGAAGGGAACCCGGATTTTAAGGGAGAATAATTTCTTTCATAAATGAAATCTCCAAACCTTAGATTGGGTTGGAGTATGGTAAATAACTCTCTGTGGCTGAAGATTTGCTAGGGATATGGAATAATTTTTTTCTTTTTTTTAATTGATGGGAGCAAAGAGGAGGAATGAAGCTTGAATATGAGTGGTAGGCATGCTCATCTTGCTCAGTCAGTGTTCATGGAGTAAGTGTTTTTGCTTCTGGAGCCTCTTAGATTGGGATTTTTTTTTTTTGGTCACTAAAAATCTTGTTAGGATTTAGAAGATCTGAATTTGTACTTCAAAGATGGCACTGTTTTCTTGGAGGATTTCATAGAGATCTCTTGTGCAGATCAGAAACTCCGGTGTGGGTACAGAGAAATCATACACAGAGATCAAGTCATCGTGGTAGCAGGCCTGGTTCATAAAGTGGATTTTGGACATATTCTGAAACTTTTTTGCTTGTGCATCAAATTCTTTAGGAAATTTTCAATATCAAGTTGGTGAGAAAGAATTTAAAATACTGTCAGTGTGTAGTTCAGTGCAAATAAAGCCTTTCCTCTATAAGCTCTGCTTGTATGTAAGTGGATGTGTTTAATACCAGTTCTATACACAGAGGTTTAGTAGAGTGTGGGAGGTCATTAGTCATATAAAATGTAGTGATGTTTTAAAATGTGTGTCTTTCCTACATCTGCAAGAGTTTTAAAAGAAATTTGGTAACATAAGAAAGTATCACAAAACAGAGGTGGTACTGAAATCCCGAAAGCAGAGGGAGAAGAGCTGCTGCCTGTGTTAATGGTACCTTCCTCTGCTAGGAGGGTGATCTAAACTGAGCTCAACTCTTCCCATCAGGGACTGAGAGCTGAATCTTTCCATTAGCTCCCCTCACACAGCAGGTTGTGTATGTGTATTTAGGGTTTCTCATACCTGCAGTTCCTGGTAAGTGCAGCTGTAGTGGCTTTCTTAGATTCTGAATCTTAGGTGTCCTGAGGAAAAAGATGATTTTTTTTTTTTTTTGGAAGAAATTGCTATTATCATGCAGTGACCAGCTGTTGGAAGTTGGTTGGTCGATCATCCAGATGTTGCCTCTTTTTACAGTCCTCTGGCATCCTTTCTTGAATCCGGATACCCAAATAATGAAGACTACTAATAATCTACTGTGTACCTTTCTAAACAGGTGCAGTGGTGCTCATGTGGATCCCTGACCTGGTGGCTTCCAGGTTGGATTATCACAGGAGCACATGCTCAGAATCAAGTATGCAAGTGGAAAAGCTCACCTAATTTGACATGACCTCTCTGCTAAATAGCAGGCTGGGGCTGTGAGCTGTAATGAGATAACTAAGGAATCAGCTCCTTCTTGGTGCCTGAAACATTTTTCAAGGTACAAAAAGCAAGCTACCCATGCAGTGTTGTCAGTGCTGGAAGCTTGGGCGTTTAGTGGAGATGGGACAAACAGATGGGCGCTGGGGAAATCGAAGACAAAATTTTATTTTCAGAAATAATCACATTTTAAGGACATCTTTTTACCCTTCTTCTTTTCCATCATTCAGAGATAAGGTTTTTTTAAGGGTAAAAGAATCATTCACCTGAATTGCCTTTCATTTGTTCAGTTCTCTCTAATTTCACAGTAATGTGCTGAGTACAAACCTTTGCTACACGCGTTTTAATTTTTTTTTTTTAATTAGTAGAAGATCTTTTAACTTTGATGGAAGATGTAAGATTGTCATCTTGGCTTTCAGCCAGCGTAAATTTGGAGGGAAATTCCGTGCGCACTTAGAGATTAATAGAGACGTTTGCCTGCCAAGCTGGGTTTTTCCTTTCCTTCCGTAGGGCTGTTTGGAGCTGCTGAGGGGTTTGCTAGTTTCAGCCAAGTGGATAGAAGTTCATGATTATTATGTTTTGTTAAACGCTATCAGAAATAAGTGAAAGGCTCCGTATTCTTCAAGCCTCCACAAGGAGGCATGCAGTATCTGGCTTATGGCTCCTGCAGTTTTTTGGTTTCAGGAAGCGTTTCAGAACTTTGTCCCACTGAAAGGGAGTGGTAATAAATGCCCTTCTTGCTTGTGTTGGTTTTCTAGTGATGTGTTGGGGTTAATTTGTGGGGAGGAGTTGTTACCTCTCAGTTGTGTTTCTGCCTGCCCCGTTTTGCCCTCATTGATGCTTACACACAAAAAACATTTTACGAAATGTTTCTCTGCAGATTGTTGCAGTGTTCACAGATTTGATAGAAGTGCTTTTTTTTTTTTTCTTTTCTTTTTTTTCTCCCTTCCTCCTTCTTCTAAAAGCAGAAGTGAGAGTTAGGGATCGAGATGCACTTTGTGATTTTAGCCTTCGGTTTGTGGCTACACTAGAGACACGTTTTGGGTGAATAAGATGCCATCGGGGGCACTTCGTTCACAGTGTTCTGCGCAGGTTTTCAGTTACCCAGGTACAAGATTCCAGCTGTTGCTTTCTGTATGACATTTTTGTGTTATTTTGGACGCATAGAGGGAATCATACAAATACTGCTTCCTGCTTGTTTAACAAAAATAAATAGGAAATCTAATTCCATCACAATGAATGCATTTGTCCCGCTGTCTTGTTAAGACTCATTTCCTCAGCACAGTGATTTCTTATTTATCCCTTGGAAAATATAGTATCAGACATACTTACGTTAAGCTCTAAAGTCTTCCTGTGATAACAATTATCACTGAAAAATGAGGAAAAATGTAGTATAAAAATACACAGCGGGTTTTTTTTGGGGTGGTGGTGGTTTTTTGGGGTTTGTTTTTTTCCTTTTTTTTTTTTTCTTTCTTTGAAGTAATAATGCTATTATGGCCGAGGTGACCTAAACCCAAAGTTTGTAGGGAGAGACTTTTGTCAGGCCATGAAATACTTCTAGAAAGAAACACACCTTTTCTTCGAGGGTCTGTGTGTTTGCAAGTTAGCAGTATCTTATATGTGTATGTATACCTGTATAATTTTTTATTTTTTCAGAATGGGAGCTTAGATAATACTCCATCTGCAAATAATTGAGAGTTGCCTGCATTCCAGGCTTGAGTCTGTTGTTTGAGCCTTTTTTCTTCCTCCTTCCCGTCCGTGGCTTGCGGTGGCTGAGGGGAAGCTTGCTTGTTGTATGGGTCAGCCTTAGCCCTCAGAAGAATTAAGAAACTGATACTGGGTTATCTTTCCCAAGGTGATTTCAGTGGTGGTCAGAATCTCTGCGGAGAGAGATAGGGGAAGAGAAGGGACTAAACTTGGACAATCCCCGAAGCTGAAACAGAAATTGCAATGAGGATTGCATTACCCATAGCAACATGATTTCCTGCTGCATATTTAAAAATTACTGCCTTCCATGCTTATTTTCAGTATTTTTCAGTACCCTTTGTTCAACTGCTGACTATCATGCTAGATGAATGCCTGCCCTCAGACTTAGCTGAAACAACGATGAAAGTTCTGTATCAAATGTATTACATTCATTTCTCGCTGATGATCTGTTTGGGCCGTTTCTCCCACATCATATGGAACTGAAAGGAGCTCAGCGAAAAGCGCTACCCAGTGAAACTGATCTTAGTGTAAACTCAAAGAAGCTACAAGAGGAGCAAACTCCCTCCTTTTGGTCTCTTACCGGTGTCGCTGTCAAACATGGGAAAATGAACTTGCTTTTGCAGCCATTCTTTGCAAGAATAATGCACGAGGATCTCTTAAGACTTTCTTCAATGTAGCAGATTATCAGCCTATGCTTCCGCTGTATGAAATGTGTAGGTGTGGGCCACCAAGGTACTACCAATGAGGAAAGTGGAGAGTCTTCCTTCTTAAATATATCAAATATTTTTGTGCTCCTTTGTTTTCAAAGCTATCCCTCTCGTTCACGATGGAACTCTGGAAAACACAAGAAGCATGTGCTGCTTCTGTTCTGAACATTGAGTGAACTTTGAGACAGACACTTGCTGTGTCGTCACCCAGGCAAGGAAGGACAAATAAAGGTCTGCTAGTCATTCAACCCTTCCCTTGCAGACTCCCAGGAAATCGGAACGGCATTAACTACAGCTCTGGGAAAATATCATAAACAGGGATACTTAAACATCTCAAGTACCACTGCAAATCTGAGTCATAAAAAAGTAGGGTTGTAAGCAACGTTTAGAGGTCATCCAGTCTTCTTCCTCCCACCCTTCAGTCCTCCTACCGTCATCTGCTTGTACGTTTACTGTGATTCATGCCAGTTAGCACAGGCAGGGAGAAACACTTCTGAGGGTGACAGAGGCAGACGCCTGAGGGAACTGAGCATTCCTCCGAGGCACCAGCCAGCACAGTGCCCGCTCTTAAATGCACAGCTGGGCTGTCCCTCTCTGCTGTGGTGAGGCTCTGTTCTAGCCCTGCATGCCAGTATAAAGGTATTTAAGTAATTATTCATTTGCTTGCCTAAGAAATACAGCTATATAGCCACACGGTTTGCACTTGGGAGTGGAGGTGCTCATGTTGTTCGTGTGCCTCAGCACCTTCTGAAAAGTGGAGGGCTGCTTTAGCGGCTATTAAAATTTTTAGAAGTCATACGGTCCTTGAGATGAGGGCAAGCAGTTCAGACTTTTGGGGCCAACAGACCTGTACAGATGCCACCTTTTGGACTTTCTGATTGCACAGGGAGCCTAGCTAACTGTAGGAACAACTGAATACAAATAAAGAACTCCTATAGACCAAGCAATTGCTCTCATTAGGGGCTTTTGGATTTTTTTTTAAGGTTTTTATTTTTAATCAACTTTTGTTTTGAAAAACACATGGAATTCGAGACAAACATTTGGAGGGTAGGACACAAAAAGACAATCACAGTATGTACAATTCTTATTTTCAGATCTTTCTGTGAAGTGGGACCCCAGCTGTTACGCTAAGCTGCTCTGTACCCAGGGTAGCCTAAGTACCAACTGAGCTTCACTGCAGCCGCAGCACAGGCTGGGCATGGGATGTTGTCTCTCTTCCCCACCATGGGGAAAGGGCCCTTTGTTAGGAAAGTCAAAGGCAACTGTCTCCTTTACCTGAATGGATACCATTTTAAGCTCTGTTTTATTCTGTTCCCTTCCTTGCAAAAAGAATCCCATCTTTCTGTTGGAAAGAGAGTGGAACTGTTCTAAATCAAAACGACTTTATGTGCATCTTTACGAGTCACTTCCCTCTGCTCGAGGGCTCACCCAGAAGGCGTGCGTTGCAGTCACTGCTCTTCACCAGCCCGGGTGAGTAGTTCTTCGGATGCTTCTCAGTTCTGTAGTAGGGCAGTTGCAGCAGCTCTGGCCTGAAACAAAACTTTTGCGCTTTCTTGATTTGTTGGTATACAGGATCCTTTCAATCTTAGTTTTACACAGGACATCTGTGCTACCTGAATTGAACATTTCCAGAACTGAACCCATTTAGTTTGCATAGGTATCACTTACAATTATTCTGATAATTTTTAAATTCTTTTTTCCTCCAAAGGTACTGTTTTTAAAGAAGTGACATTGTCACAGTAACAATTTCTTATCGCACAGTTCTAGCTTAAGAATCCAGCTTTTGTGCGATGATCGTATTTACTTTGCTGTGTTTCATGACACAAAGAGAAAATACTGAATTCAGCCTTCTAAAGCTTCTGGCTTATTTAGAAGTTGATCTTGTAGTAATGCATCACTTCCTTCCTCTATGTTGATGTTTTATGAACTTCCATCATCTTTCTTGATCAGCTTCACTGTTCCGCTGAAGAAATACTACATTTCTTATGGAAAAAAAGTTGTTACTGATAGCCTGTGACGCTTAGAGTATAAATAGAAACTAAAGTTTCACAAGGTTTCCATGCTTATGTCTTCCTACTTCCAGTTTTTATCAGACACAGAGGGTAATTACCCCTTCTCCTCCTTTCAGTTCTCTTGAAGGACAGCAGATGAGATCTTAGGCAAAAGATGTCACTAGAGTCAATTATAAGGTGGCCTTGTAGTTTTGTGAGTCTTTTATCCTGTTATTAAAGTAAGACCACAAAATCCAAAATAAAATGTCATACTGGCAGCACTGAAACTGGGCTCCAAGAAACAAATGAAAAAGCAAACTTGCCGCCTCTGAGTTTTGCTGCCTTTGGTTTTGTGGAACACCAAAATGCGGGACGTAAACACCGAGTGCTAGGTCTGTTTTCATCTATTGGTGTTTCTTTCACGTGGCTCCGGAGCAGTTGTCACGCTAACGCTACAGAGCTGTTCTGCCCAGCGAGGTCCTCTGGCGAGGAGAACTTCCCAAAGAGAAGGTTGGCTTCCCCAGTTACAAGTGCCAAAGCCCCAGTGTGACCAGGAGGTGGAAAGAGAGGGGAAGCATAGCCAGACACGGCGCATCGGCAGGGCTTCTGGGAGAAATCTGACTGTGTCCTGAAAAATTAAAAAAAGAGAAAGTCGGCATGTAACTGGTGGCTTGACAAGAAGTGTGTTTGAAGTTTGTGTGATATATTTTACCTGAACGCATTGGTGGAAGGTTATTTCTAAAATCATGTGGATTTTGGCTCATTTTCAAAATTCTTTTTGTGTGTGTTTGTGTGTGCCATCCAGAAAAAACAGTCTCAAGGTACTGACAAAACATTTTTGCCTCTTTCATAGAAAAGACACAGACAGTCAGCAGCAATGACTACGACTTCCTTTTTTGGGTGACTGAGAACACTTGTTTAAAATCCTGATAGAACAACAACTGAAAGAGTATAAAATTCATTATCGTTCTACCTACTCAGGGCCTGAGGTAGGCGTTGTGATTAAGAATCCACAAATAATGGTAAGAAGTGTTAAAAAGTCTAGGCCACAGACATTTAGGTGGTAGCAGCACTGTGTACCACTCGTGGTACGTAAGCCACAAGATGGACACAGGGCACGGGTTAGCCTTGGCACAGGTGGTGCCTGCAACCCATGCTGGATGTAGTACACCGGTAAAAAAAGATTTTGAACCTCATTTAAGCCGCAGAGCAATTCTTCCTATAAATGTTTAGGTCCAAGACCTTCTCTGGGAAGATCAGGCTGTATGTTGTTTCCTGTACCAAGTCTTGGGCTGTTCCTGTTGCTGTGGTTATCAGTTTTGCAGTTAACTTATCACTACTAGGGGTGCTTCCTCCCCCTCTTCCTAGAAGGAGTATGTGGTATTAACGTGTAACAAGCAAGTAAACATTGGGTAGTCCTCGGTAAGGCTTTGAAATAAAAGTAGGATTATAGCAAGTCTCCTGGCTTCTTGTGACCTCTTTCAGGCCTAGGTACTTTCGTTTTTCCCAGAAAAAATTTAAAACAAACTTTGACTTGACCCAGAAGGAGTCTTGCAAGAAACCCAGAGTGACAGTAAAATTAGGCTCTTTAAAGTAATTAGGAAAAATAATCAGTCCAGCAAATAAACAAACAGAAATGAAGCAGATTTGAAACAGATCAAAACTGTTTCTGTTTTATATAAAAATAATAAATACCTGCTGATCTGGTTATGATGACTGCAAAGTGTGAGAACTATTTCTGCATACAGTGTCTTTGTTCTCAGCAGGTCATTTAACTTTTCTAATTCCCTTCCAAACTAACAACTAATACAAAACACATTCTCTTCCTCCCTTTCTTAAGAAATTGCTGAAAATAACAAAAAAAGGGAGCTGTGGCTGATGGTTTTCTTTAAAAGAAGCTGACAACAGGAAATATTTTTTCCTTTTTGCAAAAAATTATGTTTCAAAAGTTAGGCTTTTGTTCTTTCCCCATCCCCAAGCCCCTCAAAATCCAGCAGTGCAAGAACCTTCAGGTGTCTAAAGTGTGTGATTCAGTTTGTTCTCCTATAGTAAAACTGAAATGCTTCCCCTTGTCCCCATCACTTTTTTTTTTCCCTCCCCAGTGAAAATACCTTTTCATGGTAAGAAGTAGTTTATATTGAGGGAAAGTTGTCAGAAAGTTTTCAGCTCAGTCAAACATACGTACAACCATCTTTTTTAAATACCACCTGCTTAGCTTTTGGTTTTGAGACACTCCCACTGCTACGGCATTGAAGTTTGACCCTTGATAATTTCTTACTCCTTGCGGAAGATAACAACTACAGATATTCTAGCGCCTGTTCTGTTTGCTTTTGTCATGTTATAACGTGGTGCTGTGTCGCTGAAGGCACAGGACACCATCTTGAATTTAACTCTATGCTCTTTTAAAGACCTTTAAACCAACTAGAGGTGCTATCTTAGGTCTAAAAAGGGTATTTCCTGTAATTTTTCAAGTTGTTTGCTGCTCATGAATACAGAGCTGATTTTTTTCTGTGTGGTCATGAGATAAACACTGGAACATTTCTCTTCCTTAGTGTTTATTGCTGCTTAATCTGGCTGTAATGTCATATTGTGGCTGAACTTACTATGATAACTGTAATATAATTATTGTTATGTAATGGATTCTATCTTTCAGCTACACTGAGTGAAATACAAATTGCAGCTGTTGGTTTTTATATGACAAAATGTTACAGGTTTGATACCAATTTAAGGCTTTGTAGAGCTAATAATAATAATTTGTCTTACAAACAGGATTTTTATGGGAGAATTTACTGACGATGGCATGTCAGAACTGGACAGCCCTTCTGTATTGCATTCACTCCAGAAGTGTTTACACATGACCCTAACGTGGTTACTTCTCTGTAATGATTAAACCTGGACATTAGCATCTGCCCTATACTTCAGAATTGCCTTTGGATGTGATCTACTTTAATTTTCCCAGAAGAGCTTATGTGGAGCCATTAATCGTGTACTTTTAGAATATTTATTACCTTATTTACCCCAAAGGACCCCCCAAATCTCTTGATCTGGTAGTTCATTCATACCAAGGTAATTTGCACAGGCCTTAACTCCCAAAACCAAATGGCTTCCATGTTAGTTTTTACTGATTTTTATGATGCCCATAACGGTGAGTAGCTTTCTGGACTAGTGACTGCTGGCACTCCGGTATTATTCTTTCTGCAGTCTAGGTCTGTCTTAGTGGTGGAGATCATTTCCCCTGTCTGGGACAGCTGTATTTTGCTAAACTTAGTAAGAGAGAACAAGCACCGTAAGTCTATGGGGCTTTCTCTACTCAGCACGTTTTACCGGTCTTGCAAATTCAAATGAGAGCACTGGATAATTACTTGGCCACTTAGCAGGGTAAGGAGTATTGCCTTACCAGAAGGGGAAGGTGCCTCCTCAATGCTAGATGGAGCTGGGAAAAAAGCATAATAATCAAAGTTACTTGTTTGAACCTAGAACAGAAAAAGGGTACTGATAGTTAATCTAAGAGTTAGTGGGGGTTTTTTCTGAGAAAGAATACATTTGTCAAAAAAATTGAAATTTTAAATATGATCACAGAATTAAATATGAGTACAAGACACCTTACTGTTCCCAAGAATTAGATGATTAAAACATTTTGATTCTGCATTTTCAAAAGACTTTTTTTTTTTCATTTTGAAAACTGCAAAACATTTCACTTTGAAATTTTTTGAAACTTTACATTTTGAAACCATTTATCTCTTGAGAATGATGTGCATTAAAACAAAGATACTAAAGGGTTCATATTACTTGAAAACAATTTTTTTTCTATTTTAAGCAGAATTAAATGTGTGTGTTGACCATAATGAAAGTTTCTGGCTGATTTATTCAAGCAAGACACCTTAAAAAAACTATGATTTGTTTTGATGTGTGTCTCCTTTTTTTTAATTTGCTTTTTCAGTTGGTCAGCTGGTCAAACCCGATGCCCAGTCATTCCGCTGGCCATGCTTGTAGGTAGCTCAAACATGTTAGCTCAGTTGTTTGGCATTATTCAAGCATGTGTTATGGCCTCACTCACTTTCCTAGGGAAGAAAAAATACTAATTCTTGTTGCATGTGTCCAGCATTGTCACCAAATCCAGCTCTTCCAGCTGCAAGGGAAAAGGTAATTAGCAACTGCCTGTCTTTCATCTGGAAGGGTATATGGCCTGGACTTTGGCTTCAAGTGCCAGAGATGAAACTAATCCTGTTTCACAGACCCAAGTGCAAACGATGAAATAAACTCTCCCGTTCCTCTGGGACAAGGTGGATCCAGGACAGTATGAATCCATAAATAACCAAATGCTTAAAACTTGGGGAGACCTCATTATCATTAATATCTCCTGCGAAGGCAGAGGGAAGAGGCAGACGGCTTGCTGTCAGGAGTCCTGCTTCTTCTGTGGATATGCTGTGCTGGAGCTTAACAAAGGTGCGTTTGGTTTTTTTCCTTCTCACTTATTCTTCCAACAAAAGCAAGGAACAGAGTGAAGCTGACTGAAGATTTGCTTTAAAAATTGGAAGTCATCCCAATCAATGGCCATGTATGGCTTGTCAACAAGAAATGCTGCCCTGAACTCCCTCCCTCTGACCTAAGAAAAACTCTTACCTGATACAATGAGTTTAATTTTAGATTTCTGTGTTTTGTTGGGATGGTCTCCAGTCTGTTTGTAGATGCAAGTATATACAGCTGTGTCCAGTAGTTGGACATTGGAGAGCTTTAAGGAAAAGTTGCCATGCTTCATCTGGTCCAAAAAAAGCCTAGTTCTGCCATGGTAACGTTTGTCTTGGGTCGCCAGCGAATCCTGCCCGTTGTGAAAGAAGTGCACTACGACAGAGTCTATCTGCCAGTAGAGCATTGAATTGGAAAGGATCTGCTCTCCAGGAGAGGTGGTGGTGCAAGGCAAAACAACAGTTTCTCCAACAAATGCATGGCACGTTGTGTCTGGTTGACCTGGAATAAAAACCAGACAACTTTCTCAGTGTGCAGCAGAGCTAGGGACACCAGGTTTCCTATAATTTGGCTTCATCACATCATTATTGCCTCTCTTTCTCCCCCTTCTTCTGCCCCCCCCCCCAAAAAAAAATTTAAAAAAAAAAATTTCTTCACTGTAAGAGTCGTTCAGTGTTGGAAGGGGCTCCCCAGGGAGGTGGTGGACTCACCGTCCCTGGAGGTGTTCAAAAAACGTTTAGATGTGGCACTTTGAGACATGGTTTAGCGGGCATGGTGGCATTGGGTATACGGTTGGACTTGATGATCTCTGAGGTCTCTTCCAACCGTAACGATTCTATGATTCTATGTCCTCTTGCTCCCAGCCAGGCAGGAGGCTGTACGTGCTATGCCAGGACTGAGGACTGTGTATGCTCAGTGCCCAGCCAGCTGTGCAGCAGGACAGATGTTGCTGTGTGCAAGTTGCCTTCACTTTGTCAGCATGGGTGCTGCTTCAACGTGTCTCCTTAGATGGTGATTTTTCTCCCAGCATATGGGGATCTTTGTCTTTGAGAACAAGTGTCTGATTTGATTTTAATTAATCGGTCAGTTCACAAGAGGAAAAGGGGATGCAGGGAAGTGAAGATGAGCAGACATGATTAAGCAAGCTTTGGTTTTCCAGGAAGTCTGGCTGAAAAAAGAAGAAGCGTGAAAAGGGTGTTATGTGAGCAAGAGAAAGGTCCTGGATGAGTTTCGTCTCCTCCAACTCCCATTGCTTGCCTATCAGATTGTGACTCCCAATTTGTAAATAATGTCCTAGAGGTCCCTGCCTCCCTTCCCCTGTGACATCTTGCAGAGGGTCTGACAGACAAGGTTTTTTTTTTATGCAGCTATGACGCTAATACCTGTCCTGTGGCCTCTCATACTCTTTGGTATGGTTATTCTCCCGGTACCCTAGAAAGAAGGTCTGTCCTTCCCACATTCGGTAAATCACTTTTCCAAGGCCTCCGGAAGACAGATACTTTGTACTGGTGGCCTGGACATCGGGCAGAGATGTTACCAACCTTACCAACCAATTCCAGCACATGCAAGAACCGGGGTGAGGGGGGTCTGCGGGGGAACAAACCGGCGGACAGGCAAGGCAGGCAGCCAGATGCATCTTGCTTATACACACCGCTCATTTAATAACTTTGATACTAATGATTTTTATAAATTCTTCTGAGTTAGTTGAAAGTGTACTAGAACTTGCACAAAGGGGGGAGCCTGCCGCTATCACGTTGGACAACTCTTACTAGATTGTGGTGGTGTATTTTCTAGGGGAAGACTGGGTTACAGAAGGGTTCTGTGTATTTATAAAGCATAGACAACTAGGTATTTTCAGCACAGAATGTGGGCTTAAATTAATGCTTTGGCCAAACCTGCTTCATAAAATTGTTTTATAAATTAAAATGCAGATGAATTAATTTGGATGGAAAACTCATCCCAGCAGGGAGCAGAATAAAAGCAGCATGAGTCTGTCATTGTGCCAAGAACAAAAGCTAAAATTCACTGTGAAACAACTCAATCTGTTTTCATGGCCAAAGTTCTATGAGGCATAAGGGGTAAGTAATCAGACTAAATATAGAAATAAATGTCCTTGGTCACAGCGTGGTCATTCCTGTGTTCTAGGTCTCCACCAGCTCTGTGCATATGTTGGGCTGAAGACCAAAGAGAGCCTCGGTTCCCCCCTGAAGTCACTGACATCAGCCAGAGCTCAGCTTATTACATGCTCAGGCCTCTGTTTCTGTATTAATCAGTGTCTGTTTTCAGACTTGTTTGGTAACACCTTGTACCCATCCAGGCAGACATAAGAGCAGAAGGAAAAGTATAATTCAGAAAGCTACATCTCAGAGGCAAGTAAGTGGCTTCGATTGTAACTGTATCACCAAACAGCTGCTTTCCTTAGATCTTCAGATATTTTCAGCTGAAAGTCCCAGTCCACTTTTGCCCAACAATGTAAACTTGTAGCTGAAAAAACCCACATACCCCCCAGCGCTGTTTCTGGTTGTCAATGGGAGGAGACTCCCCTTGCTGCCTGGAAAGCTCCACCATTTTCAGACCGCTTCGGTCGCTTCTCAAGGGGAACCTGAACTACAACAGTATCCGAACAAGGTTCTTATTTTATTTATAACAAAGCTCAGCCTCCACCGTACTGTACCCTTAGTACCGCAGCACGTACGACCCTAGGCTCCCCAAGGAGACCGCCTTAGCCCCGTAATTAGTGACGTACCCAGGCAGGGCCCTTAGCTGTACCGACTGCCGGCTGAGGAAGGGCAGGGAGCAGCCCTGGACCCATCTCTGAGCTGTTTGAGCCCCGACTAAGGCTGGGCTTAGCAGAGCCTCTCTGAGGCAAGGCCGTGTCTGAAAGCCAGCTGTGGTTATGGCTGGCCGTGGTGAGCTGACCTCAGCGGGGAGATGAGCATCCCTGAGGCTGCTGCAGGTGTTTGGTAAGCCCTGGAAGAAGTGAGCCTCCAGAAGAGCTTTTTGGTGGAAAGAGAGCTGTCCGCAGGATGCCGTTAGGAGAGGGAGTGCGTGCAACGTATGGTGTTGCACGTGGATGGAGAAAAGATAATCCTGAAGACCACAAAACTTGTAGCTCTATTCAGAAAAATGGACAATAAGCATTTTCTTAAGGAGCAAAAGAGGGAGAGTGAGTGTTGGTCCTGTCTTCTGATTGCAGTCACTTCTAATTTGATACTGGTTTTAGAAGTGCACCTATTTGCTTTTTGGCTCTTTATTCTTTTTCTGAAGCTGGAGGACAGCAATGCCTAGCACAACTGCTCCTTTCCTGCATGATATGGTGTACAAACTTCGTACGCTCGTGGTGACTCTATTACAAACAGCTGGGGGATTCAATCCACCCCGCCCCAAACTGCTTTCACCTGGTAAAACCAGGGCAGCGGGAGGCAAAAAAAAGGAGGCACTGCTGAAATTGCCTGGGCCAAGAACAGGTGAGTGCAATCTGGCTGTAACGAGTTATTTAACAGAGCCTACAGCTGCACCAAGTCTTGTAGATGGGAGGAACAGACTTCTGGGTAGAAGTTAAAGAGGTGCCCTTAAAGAGGCTAGCTTTGAGAAGAAGAGTAAGGTCATGCTGGGGACTGGTGATGCCACGTTAGTTTCTCGCTGAGGCTGTGGATGTGCGGGGAGCTTCCAGGGCAGGAGGATGGAGCAGTGAAGCCGCGGGGATGGTGGCAGCCGGTGCTGGGATGTGCAAAGCAGGGCAAGCAGTGCTCGTCTGATCTACCCGGTAAGCTTTGTATGGGGAAGGGGCAGTTCTCTACCTTGGACAAAAATGAGTGTTGGCAGACTTGTGGTTGTAAGGCTCAAATGTGAAGTGAGTTTATTTTGTGGAATTTTTGGGGTTTTAATTGTGTGTTTTAAATATTGCCCAAATGATAAGACTCTCAAGGTGAAGTTGTGTGTGCTAATTTAACCAACCTGTAAGATTCGTATAATGAGAAAACACTGCTGCTTCGGTATCTGAAGTGTGGTGCAGGGAAGCTCATAAAGGCTGGCCTTTTTTGTTTGTTTGTTTCTCCCTCTTTTCCTTCCCTGAAGATGATCTAGGGTAATCATCTTTGTTTAGTAATTACATATTGTGTTTACTGGAGACATCTGGGATGCTAGTAAGCAATCTAGACTTTATGCCTTGTGGAAAGCTCTTGAGTGTGTCTCTCAAGTCTACTCTGGTGGTATTAGCACAGTTCTGACATAGACAAAGTAGCTTAAAGGGGAAGCAATGGGTTAAGTGGAAAAATATTCCAATGTTGGAAGCAAGGCAAGAGGGGATTTTTTGTGTTTCTGGGTACTTGTGAGCTCAAACTGAAATGCATTACCCTGGTGAAGTAGTGTTGTGTGGTTACTTACAGGTTCATATCTCCACTACATGTAAAAGTATTTTGGGGAGGATAGGGGGCTGTTTGCAATCCCAGTTGCTTGCTGAGCAACACTGAACTTGAATTCCCTTATTTTAGGGAGGGGGAGGAAAAAAAAGTAGGTGACGGGCCACCTAAATGGCTCTGCACACTTGCAGGCACACTCTGCTACTGAAAGAGCACATCTTGCTTGGCTATAGACTTTTCACGCTGCTCTGTGGAGACACATGAAAGTTTTCCTTAAAAATGTCAGTTGTGTGTCCAGAAGAGAGAGGGAGACTATTTCCAGAGGAAGTGTAACCTCCCGGACCACCGCAGCGCCTGGTAAATGGGAGGCACTTCTGGGCAAACAGAGGAGCACAGAAGTTTTAATATTGCTGAGTTTAAGCCTCTGATAAGGAGATTACAGAGAGTTGTCCCTGCAACTTGTAGAAAACTCCCTCACTGGCACATATTAATGTATCTCTTTTATAGACAAGATAATACCTAATCTATATAACATCAGAAACCCAACTCTGCTAGAATTTGGTGGAGCATGGGCAAAGATGTAGGGAGAGAGACTGCTGCTGGGCTCCAGTCCTTTCGCTTACCTCGTTATGCCTTTAGCCAGCCCAGCAACTTAATGAGTTCAATTACAATCCCCAACTGCCTTGCATCTGTCTCTGTAAAGGATGAGATTCCAAGTCATCCTTAACATTATGGAAATGGTAGGGTATTTTTAAGAATGTGGGCAGGGTAAACTTTATAGGTAAAGGTTTGTGGTCCTGAAACACCTTAACCTTGAAACCACTTCTTTCAGATACAGAGGTTTATCTGAAGGTTGTTACCTGTACTTGCAAACCTTGCATGCTTTGCATATATTTCATTACAGTGCATTTGTTTTGTTTTCATGCATTTGTTTTGTTTTCCTCCAAGCTTCTCAGTTTGTGGCTTGTATATTCACATTTAAATACCCCTAGATGTGTATTATAGTTTATTTACCTCTGGGTAGAGATGCAAACAGTAAGCAGGCAACCATCCAGCCACCGGTCTCCCTAGTAAAGTGAGAGAGAAATGCCAAATGCTTTGTTAGAATGTAGAGCAGAGATCAAAGACCTCTTCTCTGCC